TGGTCAACTCGTGTCGCGGTTGTGCACAACTGGCACCCGGTCAACAGCCATACAACTGCCACCCGGTCGCTACTGCTTTCGACTCTTTGCAGAAGCTCCTCTGGGGCTTGGCTACGTCATCAGGTTGCTTGGTAGATCAAGAAGACGGTCGGACTTGAGTAAAATTGAGGTAAACTAATTTTGTTGACAAATGCATGTATCATTAAATGAAATTTATCAGTAATCAAGAAGTAGTATTAATGTTAAGAATTTCTCTAATGTGTAGTTGCAAAGATCAACACATTTTATAATCACCCGGTCCACTAAAAAATAGATAAAAAGAAGATTTTGCTTTTGTTATGTTATTAAAGAGAAATTCACCCAACTTCAGCAATTATCATAATATGTAGCTGAAAATATTGAAGCATATTGTTTGGGAAACCTGAAGCATGTCAATAATTTCTTAGAGGCAAACTTATATCGAAGTGAATTTTGTGGCAAAGTTATCTGCTGGAACTAATTGCTTGCTTAAATGTATTATGTAGTGAGGCCATCTAGGATTGGAAAAGTACTGAAAGCTTTTTCTTTCCCCACTTTAGACCTTATCCGTGAAGGAAATTTCTCTCACCAAAGGCGAAATGGTTCCATCCAACGAAAGTCCGACTCTTCTTAATCATTCGCTAGGGGTAAGCATTCGCCATTTACCTTAGCCTTTCAGGTATGACGATGTGAGTAAATTGTGATGAACTAATTTTTTTCGTTTATAATTAGGGTTTCGAGACCACCTTCAATTCAGTTATATGAGATGCATTCGTCTTATTCCGTTTAAAGTGATGAAGGGCTGGTGGTTCAATTTTCCCATATCGTGAGAAACTTAAATCGTCAGCCCTTCATTACCTCAAATAAAATATGATGAATACATTTTATAAAAATTTTAAGTCCAAATGTTTAGTGAAGCGATTCTATGGTCGATCCCACCAGAAGATTACGATGGATTCCTCTTGACGAATTGTCAATTGGCTTTACTGGAACATTCTTGTCGACATTGCTCCCAACGAACAATCTCCTTGATTTCGGTAAAACTTTTTTATTCGAAATGAAAGTGAGCTCAATAAATGAAACAAGAAAATCATGGCCTCTACCACGAAATAATTTTCCTTTCTTACAAGTAGGCTTGCATTACCTTAAATGAAATAGGATGAATATAGTTCTTATATAGGACGAACAGTCTAATCTGATTTTGAGGCCCTCAGCCGAAATTTTCGTCGCCATAAGTACTTAGAATTAGTATTACATATTGTATAATTATTACTATTATTTATTGCTATTATTTTTTTAACAATTATTATCTTGTTATGTACAAAGAGCCTGCAACCACCGTCTAGTCCCATTTTCCTATTCGGTACCGAAGATACCATCCTGCAATCTGGCCTCCAAAGCCAGCCACTTCGCACTCAATTATTCGCCTTCCAGCTTTATGACGCACTCACCACCATCTTCACGGCCTACTCTCAGCTTGACCTCGTCTCGCCACTGTCCAGTGAGGCTTTGGGGCAACCAAGAAAGCTTCTTGAGGGGAGGATGTCAAGCGACCCGACCGAAGGCCGCTCTATCTTTGAGGCCACATGCTCTGCATCGCGAGGGCTGTTCCAGCATGAGGCCAGGAGTTGTGGCAACCCTACGTCGGTACCGAATTCCAGTACAGAGGAGACTGAGCCGGCCAAGTCAGTCGACAACGGGGAGAGTGTGCTGGTACCTGTGAAGACATGTGATGGTCGTATCACGAGTGTACGTCTTAGACGGACGCCCGCAGCTCAGCTACTTTATGCCAATCTTTTCGAGATCGTTCACAAAGCCGAGCTCAGTCGGCCTGCGGTAGAACAGTGGGCGATTTTCCAGTTCTGTGAGGCGCTCCGAAGCCTGTCTGGCCTACTTGCACCCTGGAGCCGGGGGTCTGGAGACCCGGGAGGGGCAGTCACACGTGTCCAGGAGAAATTGGCGGTTGGCAGGCATTTGTGGAAGGTAATCGAATAGAACAATCACCCTCCACCTCAGCTATTCGGCCATACTTCTACACTTCATACATAAGCCAGCCATTTTATACTTTCGATATAAAAAGTTTTCAAGACATTTAGTAATCATTGAATGAAATCTTAGTCACCCTAACTCATCGAAGATACTCTAAGAACCATTCTAACGTATGGTATGTATTTGCTTAGCTAGCCTCGACTTGAAATCCTCTGAAAACCCTTTCTAAATTTGATTTTATAAAAGTGGCTTGATGTACACTTTACAAGGTCTTTTTTGGGATTGCAGTTAAAAATTACACACCAAAGTGAAATGATATTTTTTTAAAAAGTTTACCTTAATTACGTCAACCACTCAAGGTGCCTTAAGGAGAGATCATTGAATTTTCCCACAATGATATGAAATCAATTGGCATTGTGAGGCCTACTCATTCCATTATGTGAAAACTCAGCTTGAGGCTTTGTCTCAATTATAGCAAATATTTGCTAAAATTAGCCTTTCACATCATACTAAACATTTCAAAACGAGATATTGTACAGTGTGTATTTAGCTATTCCTTGTAAAATTGAATGGATAAATTAGGCCAATAGCAGCTTCATAGTAATGTTTAAATTTCCGAAAGTAGGTACTATATTGCGTGAGCCGATAATATAAGCCATTTTGGGATCCGGAACCTGAGTGTTGGTTGGCTTAATCGTAAATAAAGATAATGTCTTATTTTGGAATAGGAAAGCCGCTTCAGGTGTTTTCTGGATTGGTAGTTGAATATTCCAAAAATAATAAACGATCTCAATTGCACTGGCAAACACATGCTTGTTTAATCGAATAGTTTACAATAAACGTTATTCTGGAGTAACCTGGCTTACCTTAAGTGCCACATTTGCCCTGTGGCTATGGAGTAGAGTGGAGTGATACCATCGCCATGACACTCACAACCCGATATTAAATCCTGTTGGGGATGCTGATGAGGCGAGACCGAGACTAAAATCCGACCCGGATGGAAGCATCCAGAGGCCTGCCCATTTCTTTGTGGGAAATCTTAACTAATCCTTCATAGGCCACATTATCTAATCGGATATTATTCGAAAATAGAGAATTCTCCTCATTTTCAATTAGCCGCTCAACTTTTAGGCTCAGGATCGAAAATCCGCCTAAGGCATAAGCTCAGTCTAAAGAATGTTGCTTACTTTTGTCGTTTTATTCTGCTGCAATTGGTTAGGAGTACTA